TATTTAATAGATAATGATCTAATAATTAGATTATTAATTAAGAAATTATTAATAATTAATTAATTATTTAATAATCTAATTATTTAATCCTCTTAATTATTAAGAAAATGACTGATGACTTTTTAAATATAGGTAAGGTGCAGGTATTGTTATTTTTATTACTACTTGCATAAGTGTAAAATGTCAGTATTAGAATATTTAAAATTCAGAATTGGAATGAATGAGTTTACAAAGACACATAGAGTTGGCGCAATCTAGTTAAGTAAAGACGAGTTATCTGATGATTTGACATTTTAAAATGAAATAAAAATAATTTGAAGGAACCTCAGTTTTTATTTAAAATAACTTAAAATTTACTATTTTTTATTATGGTAATATGGGAATTAATGGTTATTTATATGATTTTAAGTTAAATTTTCCAATTTCCCAAATCATTGAACTCAAATTTTTTTATTTAGATCGAATTTATATTTAAATTAATTTAATTGATTACTAAATTGTTACAATTGTTTTTGAAGTTATTTATAAATTTGTCTCTTTTGTAAATTATTTGTGTATGTGGTGTAGTAGTTGGACCCAGTGCATAATATCATTGTAACTGCGAATACTAAAGTTCTTTGTCAATTAATATTTATTTTTTTTAATGTAAATATACATATTCAATTATATTAATATTAGAAAATGATCTAATTAATAAAATATTTAAAACCACATTTAAATAAGTAGTTCAAGAATAATACATATTTTTATACTTGAGTCAAAGATAAAGAGTGGCAAACAATTGCGTGATGTAAATATGAAAGTAACAATCCGAACATCGCCTTCAGCCTATATATTAAGTGCTAATAACTTGTGATATATTGGTTCAGAAGTTGTTATTAAAAATCATTTCCTTAGTTACATCATTTTCTATAATAAAGCTATTTAATTGCGTTTCATATGAGATAGGTTTTCCGTAGGACGGCTAGGGATGCACTGCAATAGAATGTCATCTTACCTTAAGTCTATTTAAATCGCTATTATTGAAGCGGGAGAGGGGTCACCGGGGGGACGACGGCTAACCACATATCCAATAAATAACGAGATTAGATGATAATAATTAAATAACAAATAACCACATATATTAGAAGTTCTTCGAAGAGTATCTTAAATTTAAAGTGTAACGGGGGGGGGCCTTGAATACTAATGGCCGGCGAAGCAGCATAAACTAAATAGTTAAACTCAATTAAAACAAATCATAAATAACCTTAAAAATAATATAAAACTCAACTGAATAAATAAAGTTGTTGATAGTGATGAACGGACAGTATGAGATCTTGTGGTGGTGGTATCGAACATCTGAGCATTACTAGTATGAGTGTAGATGCAGGCACGTAATTGTGAATGAAAACAGACGGCAGAAAAGCGACTACGGCATTTAAGTTCTTTAGTGATAGACAGGGCCAAATTACTGGTGGTGTGCAAGGCCACGAGAATTTTGAGTACAAGTGAACAATAAACAAATAATAAAAACCCAGCCCAGGGGGGTCGCGGCACAGTGATACCGTGGTATAGTTGGATCAAGTATAATGATATCTGACAGTGATTTAAATCACTATCAAAAATAAACGCTTCGATGCAAATCTTTAGATTGTGTTTAATTTAAAAAAAATTGGTGTATTTTTCCAAAAGCTACATAATCTGCTAGTTCCTTATTAATCTTGATTAAGATACGATATGTCGAATGAAAAAGGGATTATTAAAAAATATTACTTCTCATAAAAAAATTGTTTTGATCCATACACTTTTCAATAAGTTATAGCATTATAAAGTTAAAAATATAAAAAATAAAATCGAGAATTTTCACACGAAAATAGCATTCGGTAATCATTTTCGTCGTGAAGACAAGTCCAGTTAAAATATATATAAAAGTGTTAGACCTTCCGGAACATTTTTAAAAGTTAAGTTGAAAAAGTTCTACTTTCTATATGCATTTTTTATATTTGAAGCCCCCCCGTATATAGGGAAATGGTCTGATTTAAAAAAAAGTATCAAAAAAGATCACAAATTATATCTAGATGAAGACATTGCTTTTAAAAATTGAAAAAATTTCCCTAAAAAAATTTCACATTAAATGAGGAAAATCTCCAAAAACATTACAATTTTAAAAATCGCTAATTTTTGGCATTCCATTTTTTTTACTTAAATCTGCCATAACTTTTTCAAAAATAAACAAATGAATATAAATTTTTTTTCAATAGATGCATGATGTCCATACCTATCATTTAGGAATTTTTTTTTATAAATCTGTCCCTTTATCTGTCCATAGTAAGGGATTTGAAATAACAACTTTTTTACAAAAAAAAATTTTTTTCCACTTAAATTTCTAGTGTTCCAAAAAGTCTGACACTGTTATATATAACTTAAATTAAAGCTAATGTATTATACTTTATCATGAAAAAAAAATTTTAGGACTTTATTTTGCCTTCACGAAAAACCAATTAGCTACCAGTATTTGTAAACCCTTGTGTATTATACATGTATATTATATCAAAATTTTTTACCCCTATTGCTTGAACACGTGCAGAAAAAAGTAATATTTATGTTTTAAATATTACGTTGTCTAAAAAAAATGTATAAAATATTAAAATATTATATTCAGTATTATAAATTAATTTCCATTTTTCAGTTAATATGTTAAATAAATTGAAACATAATATTATATTATGATTACTCAGTAATATTAATTAAAACTCGTAATACGTGTAACAACTATTTTGTTGGTTGCATCCTTGCACCTTGTAATAAACCATCTTTTAAAAATTTACCTTAAGTTTTTTGTGAAAATTATTCATGAAATATATGTTTGTTATGTTAACAACTTTTCAAAACAGTGGCGTATTTAGGAGTAGACCGTGACCTAGGGTGTCATTTTTTCCAATTAAGAACTAAAATCTTATTAAATTTATTATTTATTTATATGTAACATAATTTATAAATTATATCAATTAATCTTAAAATGAATAAATAAAATAAAATATATGTAACACTTTATTTTCGAAAATTTAAGTATTGTTGTTTTAAAGTGTATTAATCATTTTTAATTTAACTTGTATGCAATTGTAAATACATTTTTGTTAGAATTTGTGTAATTAAATTATTTATATAGTTTTAGCGAATTACTTAGAATAAATTCACATCAAATAAATTAAATTAGCAAATTATAAATGTATGTATTAGTAATAAATTATTGTTATTAAAAAGTATTATATTAATTAAAAATAAATATTAAAATATTAAAAATCAAGCTGTATGAATTTAATTTTCAAAATATTTATTTATGTTATTACAATAGATTGCAAACAATCGTAAAACATATATGTTCATCGAACAATACCTAAAAGGCCGTATACCTAATGGAACAATAGAATCCGTTTGACGAACGTGACCGTTCGAGGAACGTGTCCGTTCGTTGACCGTATTTTGACGAACGTTACCGTTCAAGGAACGTGTCCGTTCGTTGGACGTATTTTGAGGAACGTGTCCGTTCAACGAACGTATACGTTCGACGAACGGACGATTCAAAAATAGACCCCCTGGTCCCATTTAAAAAAAAATATGTCAAATTAAAGAGGTATATAAATATTATTTCATATAAAAAAATTGTATTGATCCATACATTTTTCAAAAAGTTATAACATTTTAAAGTTAAATATGTAAAATATAAAATCGAGAATTTTCACACAAAAATAGCATTCGGTGTCCATTTTCACCATGAGTCAGTCCAGAGGTCAAATTTTTTCTTTTCAAATTAAATTATATTACATTAGCTTTAATTTAAAATATATATAAAAGTGTCAGACCTTCCGGAACATTTTTAAAAGTTCAGTTGAAAAAGTTAAATTTTTTGTGAAAAAGTTTTCATTTTAAATCCCCCCCTGTGGGCAGATAAAGGGTCAAATTTACAAAAAAAAATATACCAAATGATAGGTAAAGACATCAAGCATCTATAAAAAAAAATGTATATTAATTTGTTTATTTTTGAAAAAGTTATGGCAGTTTTAAATAAAAAAAATTTAAAAAATTTCGAAAATTAGCGATTTTTAAATTTGTAATTTTTTTGGAGGTTTCCCCCATTTACGGGGAACGAGGGAAATTTTTTCAATTTTTGAGGGTAATGTCTTCGACTAGACACAATTTGACACTAGAGATCAGCAGTCACACGATATATGTAATAAACAAAAATTAAATAGTAAAAGAGGATAAAGATATGGTAGAGGATGTAGTATATTATGTTAAAATAAAAAGGAGGTAAAATTGAAGTGGTATCTCGGGGTCGAACTATATTTATTTATTTAATAATAAAATATACCTACCTATCACTTATTCTTATTCTTGTTTATTACGTGAAGTTTTTAGAAGTAAAGCATGCAAATAAATATTCGCACTTACCTTTATTTCCTTTTGTAGTTGATTGAGTTGGTCTTAAGGTGACTTTTTTCCTTCAGTGTCAACAATCGTTTATAGTGTATTGCGTTTATTTCGATTAATTAGTCTCTCTGTGTATATTAGTTTTAGAGAAAGGGTTCTCTACAATGGGACCTGCGTCTATTATAATTTGTTAACTTTTATTTTATTTTATTTAAAATCTTTTTATATTATACTATGTATTTACTAATAATATTTTCAATGAATTTCCTATAGTTAGATATTCTTAAAATTTACTCTGAACTTGTTAAAATATAATTATAAGAATATGTCTATCTATATTCAAAATATAATTAACAAGACTGTGGTGGCCCAGCGTTTCTCAGCGTAAAGCCTTGGCTGGCGCGGACACAGTTAACCTCTTTAATACATATTAAATATTATTTCAATACATTTTTTACTATCCTTTACGCCAACTGTCTACACGTTACCGAGAGGTAATTGGTATAGTCCTTTATGGCTGGCTGGTAGACACGCAGAGAATATTTCCAAGATGTAGTTTCCTACTTTACGAACTATATATTTTATAATGAACTCTATCCGGACTACTAGCTCTAGAACTGGCTTGTCGACGGATATAGCGCACTTCAAAAATATTCTCTTTATAAATTTAGTACTACTCTGTACCTCAACTGCCTGCACGTTATCGGAAGGTAATTGGCATAGTCCCTTATGGCTGGCGACTAAACAGGCAAATAATATTAGATTAATTAATTTTAATCACAAATTATGGTTCTTTACTCTTTTCGGCACATTGAAGGCTGTCCAGAAATTAAGGGCACAATAATATTTAAAACTTACATAAAATAAAAACTGTTGTGCGGGCTCACGTGGTAAAAGGAATTAAACTTAATAAGAAAACGAAAACACTCACTTTTCAATAAAAATTTAGAATATATAATTTGATTGACATAGTTAATAATACAATACACGTTATTTATTAATATTAATACAAATGAATAGAATAATAAAATAGAATGACATAGAATGATATAGAATGATATAGAATGAGTGTAACTAGCGCATACTAAACCACGACTGACTGTAGGGTACTTACAGTAGAAGTCCTTTGCCCATTGTTGCCCTAAAACCCTTGGTCAGCACATTCCTGTGTTCGACGACAGTCGGACGACCATGTATTCTATACTCTACTCAATTATAAAATAATATTCAGGGGTTCTTAACAAAACTATATTTATTTCTTATAAGGACATTAGGTAACAATAAAAATAAATACTATTTATTTGCGGGTATAATATTGATAAATCATCCAAAACAATGTTCACCATTTAGGATGATATAAAAAAAACGATGTCGTAGGGACAAAATATTTACTTATGCTGACGCAGATTCCATGTAAGAGGATATTGACCATGAGCTGCAAGCGTCGTCAGAGAGGGTTGAGAGAGAGATGATAGAGTCCCCGATTTTACGAGAAAAATGGCTTTTTATATGCCGGATAAAGAAAGCCAGCGATCTCTATTGAAATTTCTGAGATATTGGATAATTATTTGTGATAGAAACACTAATGTGGGTGTAGTTAATGAATTGTAGGGGACTGGTTTGAAACAGTTGTTAATAAAATGGTTATTTTGTTTACCCTAAAAGGGAAACATTCCTTAGATGATTTTTTTGTTTTATTCATTTATATGTGATATTTTGTACATGTGTTAAGAGGTAATATCCACCAATTTTTTTTTCATTTTTTTTTTTATTGGCTTAAATCATGCTAAAACTATCCTAGAATCAAAATCTTCAACGCCCAAGTACTGATCTAAACTCAAAATTCGTTTAAATCAATTTTTTCCGAACAACTTTTATGCTCCAAAATGACATTTTTCGCTTATTTTTGCGATGCTTGTTTTTTTTTAATTTCGCGGCTTTGTAAATTAGTAGAAGTTACCTATGATCGATATCTTTTTTTGAATATGAAGTATAGAATTTCGATCGTTACAGCGACTGTACAGCACGTGTTTACTCACAATTTCCCTTTGTTTAGTCGATCAGCCGTTCTAGTTGTGTACGTTCTTAGTTTGAGTTTTCTATACTTTTTAACTGTGAATTATATTAAAAAGTACTTAATTATGAGTAACAAGTTGTACAGTGGCCACAAAGGCAGTAAAACAAGAAGTACCAGAACAACCCGGAGTAAAATTAGTAACCGACACCCGCCTAACCGCTATGCGTTCGAAGGCTATTCGAAATAAGGCGAAAAAATTAAAAACTTTTGATTTAAATCGTGATTGCGATGTTGATAGGGATTTCGGTTACTGTTTCATACGTTTTTTTTCGCTGTATTTACTGCTCTTTCTAAATTATTAGTATGTAAAAAATGTAATAGTGATGTGCGGTTTTCACAGTCGAGCAAGCGTGAACTAGGCTTCAAGATTTTTGTGTCTTGTTCGAACTGCGGTGATGCCGATATTTTTAACTGTCCTCTAATACATGATCGTGCTTATGAGATCAATTGCCGTATTATTTTTGCTATGCGCGTCATTGGCATAGGCATCAACGGGGTAAAAAAGTTCTGTGCGATGATGGATCTCGCAAAGCCTGTTCTTCAAACAACTTACAGTATGATCATTTCCAATATTGGCACTGTTACTTCATCTGTTAAAATTATTTCTATGAAAAAATCAGCTATTGAAGAGAAAGAACGTTCTATTGAACGAGGTGAAGAAGGCGGTCTTACGGTGTCAGGCAATGGATCTTGGCGTAAGAGGGGGTTTTCATCTTTGTTTGGATTAGTTACTTTGATTGGTTGGCACACTGGCAAGGTATTAGATGTGTGTGTAAAATCAAAGTACTGTAAAGTGTGTGAATATTGGTAAAAAAAAGAAGGTACTGCTGAGTACGAGGAGGTGTACCCTTCGCACAAAGAGAGTGTTCTTGGTGTTCTTGACAGCACAGTAAAGCGCTTGGTACTCTTGCAACGTACGAGCACAAGAGTCCAATGCATGAGGATGTTTTCAAGGCGATACAACCCATGTATAAAGAACTCAGCTCCGACAAATTTCAGTCACGCTGCTTGGGTGCGTATTCTCAAAATAGTAACGAGTATTTCAATGCTGTAGTGTGGTTAATTGCTCCAAAAACTATATCTTGCGATAAGACTATAGTTGATATTGCGACTGATGTAGCCGTTATTACCTTCAACGAAGGTTGATCGGGTATGTTTGCCATTTATGATGCTCTTGGGTTAACTGTTGGACCGAACATGTACGAGTTTTGCGTAAAGTCGCTGATCATCGTATGTCCGATATCGCGAAAGAAGCTAGGAGCAGCCTTACATCAGACAAAAAAAAGGAAGAAGAGGAAAATAAGGACCAGGAAAGACAACTTTACAGCGCAGGGATAGCTGACTAAAGGTAAAAAAATTATTAAGGACTATATTATTGCGATTCTTAAGATTTATAGCATTTTGAAACTTTAAACGCGTTTTTCTCAAAACCATGTTATCAAAATCGGCGAGCAGTAGAACTGAAAAAGTTTACATCCGATTGACTTGAAATTTTAACTGTAGCTTCTTCATTAGATTATCTAGTGAAGTACACACGATTTTAGCGATTGGTTAACAACAAAAAAAGTTATAAACAATTATAGTCGATTTTTATTGTCGAAAAAAAAA